TTCAAACTGACGTACAGTTCAGTAAGGTCTGTCTCTCTCATGGGATTCCCCAGCTTGACGTCGGTCTGGGGGCATGTGGGACCGACGTGCCGACGTCGACCGACGTCGGGGCAGGCAAAAAAACTAAAACCCTATCGGATGGCACGGCATCCGAGGGAGGCATCAACCCTAAACTCGCTGCCCTAGGTGTTTAGGGTTGGTCCATCCCTGACCGGATGGCATTCCGTAGAGGGTTTATTTTTTTTGCCCGCGGGCAGCGAGCCCAACCGGGCGGAGTCTGTTGTCCGTTGAGATGTATTATTCTGACAGTGCTGGCCGCCGCCGCCTTCACTAATCCAACATCTTAGGGAGGATGCATCAAAATTTCGGTGAGCAGGACGAGTAACATTTTTATTGGTCAACAACCTCCACGTGGCTACCTACCCTCACAACCCGAGTCGTGGTACTGTAGAGAACAAGTTCATGTCATGGTCGTTCCAATTCGCAATGCGAATGCAACAGTTTTTTCCGAACCGTCAGCAGTCGCATGAATTTGCGACCCGGCGCGCATTTGGCTCGACTTGTGGACGAAGTGAGAGTGATGGAGGAGAACCCTCTGGTCTGGGGGGACTTCACTTCACGAAACGCAATCGAAACCAGTAGACAGATCTGCAGCCACTTCCTCTCACCCCTATGTCATCAGCCAGGCAGTGGGTCAATACAACTGATGGACTGACTTAGGCTCACTTCGCGTTTGACGCACAGCACACAACTCACGAACACAGACTCGCAAACACGGTCCTCCCAGGCAAGACGTCCTCCCGTCTTCGATCAAGTGAAATCTCACTTTCTTTTTCTTCCGTACACACAGAAAATGAAAAAATGTCTCACGACCAGCTATTGTTGATTAGCTAGGCATTATGGCGAACATGCGTTAGTGAAGTTGCCTGGTTGGTTTGCTCCTAGCACTAAGCATTTGGCTCAACTCAGCAGCTACTATCACGTCCAGCCCAGCAGCCTAGTATCACTTTCGCAACGTCGACAGCACTTCTAAATACGCACACCTGAAGCACCTGCCTCGCATCATGTCGAACAGCAGCGGGAGTGGCACGTGTGCAAACACGTGTTACATGAAAGCCACGTCAGACGGCGTATGGACAGGCGAAAATCCCACTGATTACGCTCTGCCGCTGCTAATCATCCAGCTATGCTTGATTGTCGTGTTTTCTCGCACTTTCGCCGTCATTCTCAAGCCCCTGCGACAACCGCGAGTCATCGCGGAGATGCTGGTGAGCACGACCGTTGACCCTTGCACAAGAGAATGAAAAGCATGCCAGCGCAAGCGTGTACCTTTCTCAATTCTAGCCCAATATTAAACGGCTTGATTTGTTCAAGTCCTAGTAAACGTAGTTCTGATGGTGTTCGTTTTCATGCAGGGAGGTATCGTCCTTGGAAGTTCATGTATGGGTTACATCCCAGGATTCACGGAGGCTATATTTCCGAAAGACAGTCTCACGGTGCTGACGACGGTCGCGAACATCGGCCTGCTTTACTTCCTCTTCACCGTCGGACTGGAGCTCGACATGCGCTCCGTCGCCAAGACGGGCCGCACCGCCATGATAATCGCGGTGGTGGGCATCTGCGTGCCGTTCGCGCTGGGCATCGGCACGTCCTTCGCAATGCGGCAGGTGCTTCAAGTGGACTCGGCGTTCGGGCCGTTCGTGGTGTTCATGGGCGTCGCCATGTCCATCACCGCCTTCCCCGTGCTCGCGCGAATCCTCGCGGAGCGTAAGATGCTCACCACGGACGTCGGCCAGATGGCCATGTCTGCTGCTGCAGTCGACGACATTACCGCGTGGGTGCTCCTCGCTCTCGCCGTCGCGCTCTCCACGCCTGACGCGAGCCCGATTGTGGCCCTGTGGATTCTGCTGTGCGGAGTGGCGTTCGTGGTGGTGATGTTTGTGGCAGTGCGGCCCATGATGGCGTGGATAGCTCGCCGTGTGACTCCTGGCGAGCCAGTCCCGGAGTGGATCGTGGGAGTGGTGCTGGTGGGCGTGCTGCTGTGCGGGTTTGTGACGGACACCATCGGCATTCACGGCATCTTCGGCGCCTTCATCTTCGGCCTCGTGCTGCCCAAGGACGGCCCGCTGCCATCGCTGGTGATTGAGAAGATTGAGGACTTCACGTCCATCATCCTCCTCCCGCTCTACTTCGCCTCCAGTGGCCTCGCCGTCAAGTTCCAGTCCATCTCCGGTGCTGGAGCTGTCGGCATGATCTTCCTCGTCATTGGCACGGCGTGCGTGGGCAAGATTGGTGGCATCATGTCGTCTGCGATGATTGCGGGACTCCCAATGCGCAAGTCACTGGTGCTTGGTGTGTTGATGAACACCAAGGGGCTGGTGGAGCTCATTGTGCTTAACATAGGACTTTCCAAGAAGGTGAGCCTGGAATATCACCTGGAAAAAAGAACAGGCTCTCGGATTCGTGCCTGTTTAAGTCTTGGTCTTAGTCTTCAGTAATCCCGCTTCAGAGATAGGAAGTAGACAAATTGTCACGTTTGTCTCTAACCTTCTGTTACGACCCGTTTTTCAGGTGATTACTCAGGAGATATACACGATCATGGTGATAATGGCGCTGGTGACGACGTTCATGACGACGCCGCTGGTGATGATGCTGTACAAGCCCGCTCGCAGGAAGCTGCCGCACACAACCAAGGTGGAGGAGCTGGCGATGGTGAACGGGGAGCTGCGCCTGCTCGTGTGCGTGCACGGCATGAAGAACCTGCCCGCCATGCTCAACCTCACCGAGGTCTCTCGTGGCACGCGCAAGCGGCCGCTGCGCGTGTTCCTGATGCACCTGATGGAGCTGTCGGAGCGGTCGTCCGCCATCATGATGGTCACGCGCGTGCGGCGCGACGGGCGGCCGTACTGGTCCAAGGAGAGCGAGCAGGCGGGCAGGGACCAGGTGGTGGTGGCCTTCCAGGCGTACTCGCAGCTGAGCCGCGTGAATGTGCAGCCGCTCACAGCCATCTCCAAGTTTGACAACATGCACGAGGACATCTGCATCACCGCAGCCGATAGACGCTCCAACCTCATTGTCGTGCCCTACCATAAATTCATGGTAATTTCGCATAGAGTTTCTCGGCTGTACGGTTCTTGCGCAAGGCGGGTTGATGGTTTTGTGCAGTTCAAGTTCATGTTTGAAGTGAACGATATGTCTGCCTGCATGTTCCAGCTTGTGTGTGTGCTTCCTGATTCACGTGCTTCTGGTTCCATGTTGTGGCATTGTGATGTGGTGTGGCATGGCAGACGCCAGACGGGTCAATGGAGGCGGTGCATCCGGGTTTCCAGATGGTGACGCGCCGTGTGCTGCGAGCTGCGCCGTGCTCCGTGGCCATCCTGGTGGACCGCGGCTTTGGCGGCTTCTCGCACCTCTCCCCCACCGCCGTGTCGTACCGCATCGCCGTGCTCTTCTTCGGCGGGCCGGACGACCGCGAGGCGCTGACAGTGGCGCGGCGCATGGAGGAGCACCCGGGAGTGTCCTTCTCTATCGTGCGCTTCGTGGCCACGGAGGAGGTGGAGCTGGGCTTTGTGGTGGCGCAGCAGGAGCAGCACTCGCTGGTGCATGCCACTGGCTCTGGGTCTGGGCATGGGCACGCGCACAAGGGAGGCGACAAGACGGTGTCGTTCCTGGTGCCCGTGGATAAGGTGGAGGTGGACCGCGAGAGGGAGCTGGATGATGCGGCTCTGGCGCCCATCATTGACAAGGCTCGCCAGGGGCAAGCTCTTGCAGCCAAGGAGGAGGCAGCAGCAGTGGAGGCGACTGTGGATGGAGAGGGGGAGGCGAGTGGGAGTGTGCGGAAGCGGAAGATGGTGTACGAGGAGCGGCAGGTGGAGGATCCAGTGGCAGCGCTGACGGCAGCGAGTCTGGACGACTATGACTTGGTGATTGTTGGCCGCGGCCGGCGCTCCACTGCCCTGGTGGCACAGATTGCAGCGCAGCGCACGCCCTTCCGCTCCTACTTCCACGGCCCAGCAGCCATGAACTTGGGCAGGTTCGGACACAGTGGAGGCGGCTCGCACGAGGCAGGGTCGGAGCTAGGCCCGGTGGGAGACGTGCTGGTGGATATGGAAGGGAAATCGTCGATCCTTGTGGTGCAGCAGCACGACCCACACCTCATGAGTAGCTGCCACCAGGTGGCTGACATCAGCATGCTCATGACCGTCTCAGGTGATGCCCAGGACACTACTGTTGATGGTGGAAGTGAGCAGCCGGTTGAAGCCAGGAGTGGGATTGAGGAGGTATGAGTCATTGATTGTTCAGGGAGATTGGTTTGTACGGTTGTGTTGCGTACGGTACATATGTATAGCATAGTATTCTATGGTTTGCAGGTTCTTGTTTATATGTAATTTAAGCATGTGTATAGAATTTATGCCATAGTTTTGCTGTCCTTGCGATTAGTTCCTGCTTCGATATGGTTTGGTACCATCACGGTTATGAGTTGTTAAAGAGAGTGCGCGGAATAACGAGTAACGAGTGTGACTCAATGAACTGACAATACGGCACGAGATTATATAGTGGCTACCGTAGCTAGGAGGGAACCTCGAGGAAGCGAGGTTGGGTGCGGGTTTGGCGATCAGGAAGCCGAAGGCGACGTGGGTCAGCCTCGGCATCGTGGATATCGGCCGAACCTGCGAAATCCGAAATGTCGGGGTTGTACGCATAGCAGTCAACCCCTTACAATCACAGTTTTCCGTTGGTGAGTGGCCTACACAACAGTGTTCACGCTTTCACTCTCTGTCCTCTTTTCCTCTGGCTCCTAAGCAATTGTACCATTCTTGCTGATACATACATCTTTGTGAGCGCATGGTCCAGTACTGGAACGGGCCCATTCAATAACTTGTTCACCCATCAAGTACAGGCCATCAGAACAGCATGACCTATGCATCCGGTGGTGATCAGTGAAGCTTCCATGCACTGACTTGGGAGTACCATGGCGGCTGATGCAGCAGCAGACAGCATCAGTGCACAAAGGCAAGCAGGTTAGTAAGGTAGGTGCCTTCGGGGCATGCCGGGTCGATGGGGTGGCATGGTGCTGCACCCGCCTCCCGTACCACCGTCACTTGCCGCCCCGCTGATGCTGCAGCTTCCTGCACACATGATGGCGAGTGATGAATGTGAGAAAGAGAGAGGACAGGCGAGTGACGAATGCGAGAAAGAGGAGAGAGGAAAGGCCCAAGGACTGACAACATACCTAGGATGACAACAAAATTGACGATACCCAGCACGGATTGCAGTGATTGGTACCGGAGTGTGGATGAGCGAGCAAGAGACAGGCGGGACAAGGGGGGGGGGAGGCGAGAAAGAGAGTGCAGCAGAAACAAGCATGCCATGGCTTGTGAAACAGCTCCAGAGCAGAAAGTGTCCCAGAATGCATGAGGAGAAGAGGGTGGAGGGGAGAGACGAAGGGCGTGCAGGCAAGAGCATGTGGGTAGCAATGAGGGGAGGGTATGGGATCGCACCCTGAGGATGCCTGGCAGAAGGTGCTGCTGCGAGACAGCACCGGAGCATGAGCACGTCATGAGCAGCCCTCCAGGCGCCACCAGGCGCAGCGCCAGGCTGTTGAGCCGCCGGTACCGGTGCAGCGCTCGGGGGAGGGCCTGCCGGCAGGGCGATGAGCGGCAGAGCAGAGGGGGACATGGGAGTAGGAGGAAGAAACCACAAGCAGGAGGGACGCCAACAGCGTGAGCTGAAATGCTGGGTAGAGAGCGAACGTCAATCAGACAACCTGAAACAGAGAAAGTCCAGCACCTATAGGCAAGCAGCCCCATGCATCATTTTCACCTTCCACCTCATGAGCTGATCCTCCCAGGTCACTCAAGCCTGGCCCGTACCTTGCGTGTGGGAGCGAGCTTGGGTGGGTCCAGGACAACGAGGTCCCACTGCTGCTGCTGCGCCACCGCCCGCTGCATGAACGCACTGATGTCTGCACGCTCAAAGCGCACGGCGGAGGGCGGCAGCCCGTTGAGGACCACGTTGGCTGCTGCCAGGGAGAGTGCCGAGGGGGAGGAGTCCACAGCTGGTGGTGGGGAAAGGGAGGAAGGGGAAGGATCGGTTGGGAGGAGATGGGTGGTTAGGAGGATGTGAAAACTTCACATGTTAGCATCGGTGGGCACAGGTGAGATAAGATGCAGTGGGGAAATTCATGTGGCAAAGTTGTCATGCTTGAGTAGCAGTGCAAGTGCTGTTCGGTGCACGAGAAGTGACCTGCGTGTATGTACACACAACACATGGCCTGCCCACCTGTGACGTCAGAAGCACCGGCAAGAGCAGCATTGATGGCAAAGCCGCCGCTATAGCAGCAGAGGTCAAGCACTCGAGAAAGAGGGCGGTGGGCGGACAGAGGCGAGGGCGGGAATGCCCTCCCGGTATCCACCAGTGGAGATGGCGATGATGTTGATGGCTGGCCGTCAGTTGCATTTCGGCTACCGGTGTCACGATCGCCATTGCAAGTCGCATCAGTGGGGGTGAGGCCATTGTGTGCCGCACTGCTTCCACGGCCGTGCAGCGAGGAGGCGACGAGGGAGCGCAGGAACAGGCGGCTGTCCCTCTGGTCTGAATAGAACCCTGTCTTCTGCCCGCTCGCCATGGCCACCCAGAACACCACTCCGTTCTCCATCACCTGCAGCACTCGTACAGACGACACCAGCATACAGAGCAGGGCTGGTGAGCTTGCCTCCGCCTCGCCGCACTTCCTGCCCACCCGCCTGACTTGCATATACGTGACATGGCAAGAGGCAGGCGCATACAGGAACGACAAGTTCAGGCAGGACTTTGATCAGGTGTCACCTTACCTTCACCCTGTCATTATCAGAGGGAGCCTCGGACGCGGCTTCTAAGAGTGGTGGCTGTGCTGGTAAGTCACTTGCTATTGTTGCCGCTTCCTGGTGGTCAGAACCCACTGCTACCGTTGCCCCTCTCTCCACCCTTCCTTCTTGGTCGCTATCGCTACCACCAGCCATCTCATCCACCTCCTCCACCACTGCGCTTTCCAAACCGCCAAATGCCTCCCCATCTGCCGGCTTCTCCCCAACGTTGTCTCTCCTCCCTTCCCCCTCTCCCCCGTCCACCACCACCCCTTCCTCCTTCAGCATCTCAACAGACCGCCTCCAAACAATCCTCTCATGCTCCTCCATTCCACTGGCCCCTTGCCCCTCCCTCCCCACACCCCCATCACCAGCCCCCTCCAAACGTGCATGTGTGTGTGCGCCTGGTGCAGGCAGCAGGTGGGAGAGTGCGTGCATGATGGAAGGGCGGTGGGCCTCCACCCACGCTGCAGACGACGCCACCACCATGCGCTCCCCGTACACGTCCACAATCAGCCCCGACAGCCTGCTCGCGTTGGAAGCAGAGGGGCGGAGAGAGGCGGGCAGAAGGAGGAAAAGCGGAGGGGGAAGGGCGGGCAAGGGGGATCTGTGAAAGGCAGTGAGACAGGATTGGTTTCAAGAAATTGGGTTGCTGATGAAACCAGCTGCGAACGGCAGACAAAGCAGCCTAAAGCGTGTCGACCACCCCGACCAGAGGTCCCTTTGCTCCTTCGCCACACCACGCCCCCCTCCGATCTCATGCCAATGCCCTCCTGTGCCCCACTCACCTGTCCCCTTCACTGTTAACGAGTCGGAACGCATTCGTGCCCCCTCCTGTGGCCTCTACTGTGGCCCCTGCCACGCCCCCTCGTGTGCTCCCTTCTGTGCTGTCCACGCCCTGCGTGCTAGCTGTGATGCGCAAGCAAGCAACAGCAGAGGGATGTTGAGCAGAAAGGGAAGATACTCAATTAAGCAGGATGAGACGAGACGAGGGTGGTGAAAGAGAGCACATGGACGGAAGAAGCCCGAAACAGCAATTCTCTTTGGCACTCGCCGTCACTCTGATCCTCCTGCAATCCGTTCCAAAACAGTGCATATCACACCACACCACATCCCCCTTCTCATCTGCAAACCACCAACCCCCTGGCACCGCTCCCTGGCCTCTGCACCAACTATTTCCCTCTAGGTTCAACTCAAATTAGAAAACTGCAAACCACGTCTCACTTTCACTATACTCGTTCCACATCCCTCCCAAAATCCCCTCCTCCATCTTGTGACACCCACCCACCGGCGGCAGGGCATGGCAGGGGCGAGAGGCCGAGCAGCAGGCGCAGGTTGAGTGAGGAGGCGAGGCGCAGGCGCAGCAGAGATGGCATGCACAAGACGGCCTCGGGATGCCTACGGGAGGGAGGGGATAGGGACGGGAAGGAGGAGAGGGAGGTGAAGAGGAAGGAAAACGGTGAGAAACGGGGCACTGGGAAGTCAGGAAAGGGCAGGATTGGAAATGGCTTTGATGCGTTTCAAGCAAGGAAAGGAACCATGCCATGCCATGCCATGCCATGCCATGCCGTGCCGTGCCGTGCCGTGCCGTGCCGTGCCGTGCCGTGCCGTGCCGTGCCGTGCCGTGCCGTGCCGTGCCGTGCCGTGCCGTGCCGTGCCGTGCCGTGCCGTGCCGTGCCGTGCCGTGCCGTGCCGTGCCGTGCCGTGCCGTGCCGTGCCGTGCCGTGCCGTGCCGTGCCGTGCCGTGCCGTGCCGTGCCGTGCCGTGCCGTGCCGTGCCGTGCCGTGCCGTGCCGTGCCGTGCCGTGCCGTGCCGTGCCGTGCCGTGCCGTGCCGTGCCGTGCCGTGCCGTGCCGTGCCATGCCATGCCATGCCACACCATGCCACACCATGCCACACCATGCCACACCATGCCATGCCATGCCATGCCATGCCATGCCATGCCACACCATCCCACACCATGCCACACCATGCCACACCATGCCATGCCATGCCATGCCATGCCATGCCATGCCACACCATCCCACACCATGCCACACCATGCCACACCATGCCATGCCATGCCATGCCATGCCATGCCATGCCATGCCATGCCATGCCATGCCATGCCATGCCACACCATCCCACACCATGCCATGCCATGCCATGCCATGCCACACCATCCCACACCATGCCATGCCATGCCATGCCATGCCATGCCATGCCATGCCATGCCATGCCACACCATCCCACACCATGCCATGCCATGCCATGCCATGCCACACCATCCCACACCATGCCATGCCATGCCACACCATGCCATGCCATGCCATGCCATGCCATGCCATGCCACACCATCCCACACCATGCCATGCCATGCCACACCATGCCATGCCATGCCATGCCATGCCACACCATCCCACACCATGCCATGCCATGCCACACCATGCCATGCCATGCCATGCCATGCCATGCCATGCCATGCCATGCCATGCCATGCCATGCCACACCATCCCACACCATGCCACACCATGCCACACCATGCCACACCATGCCATGCCATGCCATGCCATGCCATGCCATGCCATGCCATGCCACACCATCCCACACCATGCCACACCATGCCACACCATGCCATGCCATGCCATGCCATGCCATGCCATGCCATGCCATGCCACACCATCCCACACCATGCCACATCATGCCACACCATGCCATGCCATGCCATGCCATGCCATGCCATGCCATGCCATGCCATGCCATGCCATGCCACACCATGCCATGCCATGCCATGCCATGCCATGCCATGCCATGCCACACCATCCCACACCATGCCATGCCATGCCATGCCATGCCATGCCATGCCACACCATCCCACACCATGCCATGCCATGCCATGCCATGCCATGCCATGCCACACCATCCCACACCATGCCACACCATGCCACACCATGCCATGCCATGCCATGCCATGCCATGCCATGCCATGCCACACCATCCCACACCATGCCACACCATGCCACACCATGCCATGCCATGCCATGCCATGCCATGCCATGCCATGCCATGCCACACCATCCCACACCATGCCACACCATGCCACACCATGCCATGCCGTGCCATGCCATGCCATGCCATGCCATGCCATGCCATGCCATGCCACACCATCCCACACCATGCCACACCATGCCACACCATGCCATGCCATGCCATGCCATGCCATGCCATGCCATGCCACACCATCCCACACCATGCCACACCATGCCACACCATGCCATGCCATGCCATGCCATGCCATGCCATGCCACACCATCCCACACCATGCCACACCATGCCACACCATGCCATGCCATGCCATGCCATGCCATGCCATGCCATGCCATGCCACACCATCCCACACCATGCCACACCATGCCACACCATGCCATGCCATGCCATGCCATGCCATGCCATGCCACACCATGCCACACCATGCCACACCATGCCATGCCATGCCATGCCATGCCATGCCATGCCATGCCATGCCATGCCATGCCACACCATCCCACACCATGCCACACCATGCCACACCATGCCATGCCATGCCATGCCATGCCATGCCATGCCATGCCACACCATCCCACACCATGCCACACCATGCCACACCATGCCATGCCATGCCATGCCATGCCATGCCATGCCATGCCATGCCACACCATCCCACACCATGCCATGCCATGCCACACCATGCCATGCCATGCCATGCCATGCCATGCCATGACATGCCATGCCACACCATCCCACACCATGCCACACCATGCCACACCATGCCATGCCATGCCATGCCATGCCATGCCATGCCATGCCACACCATCCCACACCATGCCACACCATGCCACACCATGCCATGCCATGCCATGCCATGCCATGCCATGCCACACCATCCCACACCATGCCACACCATGCCACACCATGCCATGCCATGCCATGCCATGCCATGCCATGCCATGCCATGCCATGCCATGCCATGCCATGCCACACCATCCCACACCATGCCACACCATGCCACACCATGCCATGCCATGCCATGCCATGCCATGCCATGCCATGCCACACCATCCCACACCATGCCACACCATGCCACACCATGCCATGCCATGCCATGCCATGCCATGCCATGCCACACCATCCCACACCATGCCACACCATGCCACACCATGCCATGCCATGCCATGCCATGCCATGCCATGCCATGCCACACCATCCCACACCATGCCACACCATGCCACACCATGCCATGCCATGCCATGCCATGCCATGCCATGCCATGCCACACCATCCCACACCATGCCACACCATGCCACACCATGCCATGCCATGCCATGCCATGCCATGCCATGCCACACCATCCCACACCATGCCACACCATGCCACACCATGCCATGCCATGCCATGCCATGCCATGCCATGCCATGCCATGCCATGCCATGCCATGCCACACCATGCCACACCATGCCACACCATGCCATGCCATGCCATGCCATGCCATGCCATGCCATGCCACACCATCCCACACCATGCCACACCATGCCACACCATGCCATGCCATGCCATGCCATGCCATGCCATGCCATGCCATGCCATGCCATGCCATGCCACACCATCCCACACCATGCCACACCATGCCACACCATGCCATGCCATGCCATGCCATGCCATGCCATGCCATGCCACACCATCCCACACCATGCCATGCCATGCCATGCCACACCATGCCATGCCATGCCATGCCATGCCATGCCATGCCACACCATGCCACACCATCCCACACCATGCCACACCATGCCACACCATGCCATGCCATGCCATGCCATGCCATGCCATGCCATGCCACACCATCCCACACCATGCCACACCATGCCACACCATGCCATGCCATGCCATGCCATGCCATGCCATGCCATGCCATGCCATGCCACACCATCCCACACCATGCCACACCATGCCACACCATGCCATGCCATGCCATGCCATGCCATGCCATGCCACGCCACACCATCCCACACCATGCCACACCATGCCACACCATGCCATGCCATGCCATGCCATGCCATGCCATGCCATGCCATGCCACACCATCCCACACCATGCCACACCATGCCACACCATGCCATGCCATGCCATGCCATGCCATGCCATGCCATGCCACACCATCCCACACCATGCCACACCATGCCACACCATGCCATGCCATGCCATGCCATGCCATGCCATGCCATGCCATGCCACACCATCCCACACCATGCCACACCATGCCACACCATGCCACACCATGCCATGCCATGCCATGCCATGCCATGCCATGCCATGCCATGCCATGCCATGCCATGCCACACCATGCCACACCATGCCATGCCATGCCACACCATGCCACACCATGCCATGCCATGCCATGCCATGCCATGCCATGCCATGCCACACCATCCCACACCATGCCATGCCATGCCACACCATGCCATGCCATGCCATGCCATGCCATGCCATGCCATGCCATGCCACACCATCCCACACCATGCCACACCATGCCACACCATGCCACACCATGCCATGCCATGCCATGCCATGCCATGCCATGCCATGCCACACCATCCCACACCATGCCACACCATGCCACACCATGCCATGCCATGCCATGCCATGCCATGCCATGCCATGCCACACCATCCCACACCATGCCACACCATGCCACACCATGCCATGCCATGCCATGCCATGCCATGCCATGCCATGCCATGCCACACCATCCCACACCATGCCACACCATCCCACACCATGCCACACCATGCCACACCATGCCATGCCATGCCATGCCATGCCATGCCATGCCATGCCACACCATCCCACACCATCCCACACCATGCCACACCATGCCATGCCATGCCATGCCATGCCATGCCATGCCATGCCATGCCATGCCACACCATCCCACACCATGCCACACCATGCCACACCATGCCATGCCATGCCATGCCATGCCATGCCATGTCACAGCAGGAGACATGTGCGCATGAGCATCACCTTTGCGCATCTGAGAGGGTCTGCATGATGCGCACGCGGTACATGGACGTGGGGTTGAACACCCCCCACGCCACTGCCACTCCCCGCGACCACTCCCCTGACGCCCCTCCCCCCCCTCCCTCCCCCGCTTCCCCTCCCCCGCCCACATCCCCCTCCCCCTTTGCCCCTGCGCGCGCCTGCTCCCCCCTGCGCGCGGCGAGCACGACGAGGTCGCCTGCCTTGGGCGGGGGCCGCCCCAGCACGCAGTCCACGGCGCCTGAGAACACCAGCGGGGCGGGGCTCGCGGACGCGAACAGGGCTGCGCGCCCGCGCTTCAGAATCACGCGCGCAGGGGCTGGCGGAGAGGGCGGAAGAGGGGTCAAGGTGAGGGGAAACAGGGCGGAGGGGGAATGGGGGGGTGTAGGGGCAGAGAGGAGTGGTGAGATGACAGGAGAGGGGAAAAGTCTGCACGGGGTTAATGCGAATGAACGCAAGCGCGTAAACCTTATCCTGCCCCACAGCGGTGTAATCGTCCACTCGTGAGCGTAAAACCCAGAACCCTGCACCTTAAACCCGCAGACCCCCTGAAGTATCCCCAGGTGAGTCCCTTTCACCTCACGTTTTTCCATTGCTGCCGCAACCTCGTCAATGATGTTGCCCCTGCTGCCCCTCCCGCTCCGCCCCTCCCCGCCCTCCCTCCGCCACTCATCCCCATGCTCTCTCGCCTCTCCCCTCACTTTGTCTCCCCCCATCTCCCCATCCCCCTCTCCTCCGCCTTCTAGGCCCCTTGCATGCCCGCCGTCCCCCTGCGGATGATTATCCCGCGCGCTTTCTCGACCGACAGCTTCCCCATCCCTGTCCCCCACTTGCGCCTTTCCTTCCCCCCCCTCTTCCCGCCTCCCCACTTCCCCCCAGGTGCCCGCGCTACTGTCCATTCCCCCCCTGCCGCCGCGTTTCCCCGCCCTCTCGCTGCTCGAGCTTCCCCGTCTGCCGGCCACATCTTGGCGGCCCCCGCCTCCGCCGCGGGATGCATTTTCCCTGGGCTTGCCGCGCTTGCCGCCTCTGTCGCTCCGCTGGCTGACTCCGCCTCCCCTTTCCGCGCGCGTTGCCGCCCCCCGCTGACCTTCCCCTGACCATCCGCTGAAGGCGCGCTCCTTGACGGAAACCCTCTGACCTCTCAAGAACACGTGGGGACCACGCGCGAGCCACGTGCCGAAGACTCCCGCATGCGCAGCGGACATGTCGAAGGAATCAACAGGTGCACTTCTGCAAACTCTTTCAAGGACGACCTTGGACAGTGCGTTTGGCGGAGAGGGCGTGGAGAGGATGTGGAGCGGCCGCGAGCAAGCGCGTGAGCAGACAGGCGAACGGGCAGTTTGGAGAAATGTGGCGTGTCGGGCGTGCGCGCAGTTGAAGGAACGGTGGATGGCTAAACGCGCTGCAGGGCAAGCCATGTGAAAGAATGACGCATTTGGGAGAAAGGGAGGGAGGTTCCCTTGTCACTCCCATCCCCGAATTGGAGATTCAGGGCGTGTTGAAACCCCGCAACTTTCAAATACAATTGGTACCAACCTGTTATATATACACACCGTTCTGAAACACAAAGCACCGCACTCACAATCCCTCCGTCACACCCTCAATTGTGGTCTTTCTGGATGACGATGGAGATTGAGTGATCTCAACTGAGAAAATAATATGGTGAGGAGCCCAATCATCAGCATATACATCCTCCTCGAAGTACTCTCCCGATCTCATGCTCCTCTTTTAGCGCGTACACGAACTCCAACCCACCACGTGTCCATTGATCACTCTCCGCTGCTGTCATCGGCGCGCCGCGCGCCATTTTGACTGCACTCGCCTGCTACGGGCAGGCACCCCGGCAAGACGAACTCTCCTGCCACCGTTACAGTATTGCTGCTCCCTACATGCCCGCTAGCGCCCTCAGCAGCCAGTCGCGCGCACCCCACTCGCCGTGCCACTCGAGACACGCCCTCCGCCACGCACCATGCATGTTGACGTGCGCGACTCTCGCCTTGCCCTCCCAGCCCGCCAGAGCCCTTCACCCGCGCGCGCACAATGGTCCTGCGTAGCACCGTGCAGCCGCCCATCCGCGTCGCCTGCGAGTTTAGTAACCTCGCCACACCGGCTTACCACGACGCTTCTTCTGACATGTCTGCCACGTCCAGCCCTCCGATCGAATCCGACGGCCCAGATTCCTTCTTCCAGGCACAAACTACAGCGACGGCCGTCGTAGATCGGCCCGTGCCAGCCGGCACGCCGCCGTTTGTGGCGCGGGTGGCGGCGGTGCCGTCCCCGGCGAGCAGCTCCGTGGCGGTGGAGGCGCCGCCGCGCCACACATCGTCCAAGTACGACTTCGTCAAGGTACGATTCGCAGCGCCAACGGGGGGGCGCGCTGTCGGTGGTCATGGCTGCTTGCTACGAGCGCGGGTGCGCGAGGGGCATTTGGGGGGTTCTCGTCTACCGTTGCCACTGGTGGCTTGCGTACTCTCCCATGGCCGATTACCCTGCGCGCTAGAATGAGAATCTTGTCTCAAGAGTTGCACATAGCAGCGCCGCCCCTGGCGTGCGACACGGCGCTTCTGAGTCTAAGGCGCGCGGAAATGCGCTCTCCGACTGCGCTGTGTGTTCTATCATGCTGCGCCGCATGCGTTGCCTGCGCCGCCTGTATTGCCTGGGCCTCCGCTTACTGCCCCTGCGCGTGCCCCTCTGCTGTGCCCGCCTGCCCTGTAGCTGTTCTTGGAGCATGTGCGCGTGTGGCTGGGGGAGAACGAGGACCATTACTACGTGCTGTCGAGATTCCTTATAGCGAGGATGCTCACCGTCACACGCATGCCACATGTGGTGGCCACTAAGGTACGCGAGTCGTTTTATCAGCTTGCTTGTGGGCACCTCAAGCGATGTTCTCTGTGTGCCGTGCCTTGGGACGTCTCAACACTTGATGTGCTGTGTGCAGAGCAGTCTGATGCCGCCTTCCCTGCATGAACTCGCACCACAGTCTAGTATTCTCGCTGCTCAATGCGGCATGCCACGGCGTGGCATGGCACGGCACGGCGGGGCATGGCGGGGCATGGCGGGGCATGGCGGGGCATGGCGGGGCATGGCGGGGCATGGCGGGGCATGGCGGGGCATGGCGGGGCATGGCACATGTGATCCCATCAGGTGGCGTTGGAGTTGAAGAAGCTGTTGGTGGACCACGGGCTGCTGGACGTCAGTCAGGGCGACCTAGAGCGCAACCTCTTTGCTCTCATGCGCCGCCGCGGCTACGGGGATGACTACGTGGGGCGCTACCGCATGATGACCAGGCAAGCTCTGCCGCTGCTTCTTCTGTGCGCCGCTACTGCTGCGGCCTGCTTACTGGCTGCGTGCAAGGAACCATGCGCGCTCGCATACTGCCATGTTCATGCCAACCCGCTGGCATTGGCGCTTGTGTATGCCTCCCATTTCTTAATCGCGTCTCCACTCCCAACCTCTACCTCTGGAAGCATAGCATAGCATAGCATAGCATAGCATAGCATAGCATAGCATAGCATAGCATAGCATAGCATAGCATAGCATAGCATAGCATAGCATAGCATAGCATAGCATAGCATAGCATAGCATAGCATAGCATAGCATAGCATAGCATAGCATAGCATAGCATAGCATAGCATAGCATAGCATAGCATAGCATAGCATAGCATAGCATAGCATAGCATAGCATAGCATAGCATAGCATAGCATAGCATAGCATAGCATAGCATAGCATAGCATAGCATAGCATAGCATAGCATAGCATAGCATAGCATAGCATAGCATAGCATAGCATAGCATAGCATAGCATAGCATAGCATAGCATAGCATAGCATAGCATAGCATAGATAGCATAGCATAGCATAGCATAGCATAGCATAGCATAGCATAGCATAGCATAGCATAGCATAGCATAGCATAGCATAGCATAGCATAGCATAGCATAGCATAGCATAGCATAGCATAGCAATAGCATAGCATAGCATAGCATAGCATAGCATAAGCATAGCATAGCATAGCATAGCATAGCATAGCATAGCATAGCATAGCATAGCATAGCATAGCATAGCATAGCATAGCATAGCATAGCATAGCATAGCATAGCATAGCATAGCATAGCATAGCATAGCATAGCATAGCATAGCATAGCATAGCATAGCATAGCATAGCATAGCATAGCATAGCATAGCATAGCATAGCATAGCATAGCATAGCATAGCATATCACCTCACCCCTCTCCCCGGCCATGCCCCATCCATCCCCCACCGCATCCCCGCCGCCCCCCAGCTTCTACCACCGGCGCATACCACTAGTGATATTCATAACGGGGCTGCCCTGCACCGGCAAGTCCTCCGTGGCCTCGCTGCTCGCGCAGCGCCTCAACCTCCCCAACGTCCTGCAGGTCGCCCTCCCACTACCCTCCAACACCCTCCGCTTCCGCCCCTCTGCCTTCCTGGCTGTTTTCTCCCCTCTTAGCCCCCTCGTTGTATCCAGTCTCCGCGTCCTTTTCCCCACCTCCCGCCCTCGTTCCCTCCCTTCTTCCGTTCCTCTCGCTTCTCGAATCACCTCCGTTGGCCCACCAATTTCCCAAACTCCCTATCACCCCCGCCATACCTCCCCCTCACACACCGCGAAACCCCCTTCCGGCGTGTCTTCGCTACCTCCGTACACCCCCGTGCTTCCTCTCCCCCTCTCCAGACGGACGTGGTGTACGAGTTGCTGCAGGGCATGCCGGAGTCCCCGCTGCACGCGCTGCCGCTGTGGGCGCGCACGGAGCTGCAGGCGGAGGACGAGGTGGTGGCGGAGTTCTGCCGCGAGTGCAAGATCATCCGCAAGGGTGCGTGCCCTGCACCGGTGTGCGCGTGCGTGCAAGGGTGTGTTGGGTGTAAGGGCTGTATGTTGGGCTATGTATGGATCCGGTGGGTGCAGTTTCACCCATTGCTGTCCTCATCACAGCGGCTGTGAATGCTCATCAATGCACTCACTCGGGCCCTTCTCCCATGCGCTCTCTCTCTCTCTCTCTCGTCCGTCTCTGCACTCCCACCCGTCCTACCATCCTTCGTAACGCCCCTCATTGTATCTCCGACCCTTCCCCACTCTCCCCCCCCGCATCGTCTCACCGTGTCCGTGAACGTGGGGTGGCAGGGCTGGAGGGCGACTTGAGCAAGGCGCTGAGGGAGGGCAAGCCGGTGATCATCGAGGTGAGGCACGGGCGTGTATGAGGCCGTATCCCTGGCAGGCACCTTGGGATGGTGGCATGGGATCTGTGTGTTCCTGCATGCACGCTCTCCCACTTCCTCTCTCCCCAAAACCCTGTGCCAATGAACCTGTGATGTGGTTATGTGTGGTGTGCATGCAGGGCACGCACATCGACCCCGACGCCAACTTCCTCTCCTTCTCCTCCACGCCACCGCCCCCTCCGGTTCCAATGCCCCCATCACCGCACGCACACCCCGCCACGCCACCACCACAGCCAGGCGCCGCGCCCTCTGCTGCTTGGGGAACAAGCACTGACGGTGGCGGCGGTGGTGGGGGGGAAGGGGAGACGGGGTGTGGCAGGGAGGCGGGCGCGGATGACCCAATGGAGGTGGAGAGCAGCGAGCAATGCCAGCGACGGGGTGGGCAGGGGGGGGAGGGGTGGCAGCAGGAACGAGGAGGAGGGGGAGGAGGAGTGGCGATGGTGGAGGAGGGGCGGGGTAGGGATGAGTGTGGGGGAACAGGGGACGGGGAGCAGAGACATGGTGCTGGCGAAGGCGAGGTGGGGAGGGATTTGGCGAAGGGGAGCGGGGGGGTGGATGCCTTAGGCGCAATAAAAAGCGAAGAGAAACACTCGCCAAGTGGTGCTGGCATAGGCTATGCAACAGAGTGTAAAGGCGTGTCGCATGTGGCCCAAACAGAGGCAGCGGCGGCGTCAGGAGGAGAGAGAACGAGGCTGCGGCCTATTGTTGTCCCCATCGTGCTGCACATGCACCCAGCGGACCACAAGGTGCACTGCCACTCGCACTCACTGCACCCTTCACACACCACTCGCATGCTCGCCCACTCGCTCACAGTCAATCCTGTCTGCGTTCTCTGCCTGCCCTGCCTCTGCCTGCCCTGCCTCTGCCTGCCCTGCCTCTGCCTGCCCTGCCTCTGCCTGCTCGGCGGCTGGTTTCTGCTGCGCCCCCCTTGGGTTGTCACCATTCTCATTTGTGCGTGCGTGCCCGTTTATGTGCGTGCTTGTGCGTGTGTGTGCGGCATGGCACAGGTGCTTCTCTCCGAGTGGATTGCATCCAATGCACCCAATGCTGCCCTGCTCTCCCAGGTGATGCGCCACCCTCTTACTCTCATCCTCCATCCGCCCACACCCTTCGTTCCCCCACTTTGCTTCCCTGCTACTGCTCCATCCTCCTGCTACAGTCTGCTTTTCCGTCTTGCACCGTCCTTCAACTCCTCCCTGCTCCTCTGCCTGTCTCCCTGTCAGGTGCCCGTGGAGGCGCTGCTGTCTCGCATGCACGCTGTGCAGCGATACCTTACCTCCTTCCGCTCCCAGGTACGGCACCGCCAAGCACTGCCAAGCACTGCCGAGCACTGCCAAGCACTGCCAAGCACTGCCGAGCACTGCCAAGCACTGCCAAGCACTGCCGAGCACTGCCAAGCACTGCCAAGCACCTCCGAGTACCGCCAAGCACCACCAAAACACATGTTCTCTCATCCTGCTTCGTACTCCTGTTCTTGTGACCCTGCTGTCACCTGCACTGCACCCCCATGGCATGGCATGGCATGGCAGGGAGTGCACGTGGCTGACATCTCCTCCACCTCCTTCCCTCGCACCATAGACAACCTGCACGCACACCTGCTGGCGTGCATAGAACAGCGCTGCCAGGAGGATGGATGGGGCACACAGGGGGACGAGCAGCAATAACCATGCACCAAACCACAGGTTACAAATAACGGTACCATGAATCCGTGCTGACAGGTTCATGCAGGGATTCCAAGTTTCTTCATGCTCAGATCAATGTGGAGTTTCAAACTCCCACAGCGTTTTCACTCTTCTAGAAGGTACCATAGCAGCTGATTGGTGTCCAGTGTATTATCTAGGTATGTACATTCGTAGTGGCTTGTGCCTCCATTGTTCTTACAAGGTTTTCCAAATGTACTTTATGCTGGGCTGTACCATAAGACAGTCATTGGCATGGCATGCCTATTTTATACAAGAAAACACACTACATCTAGAGAACCTGATTCGCTAAACCCTCTACAACCAGAAGTTTTTTTTTTTAAACCAGGCTTGCCAGCGCGAAAGTGCTGGCTGGCGAAAACCAGGATTTCGTGCGGACACTTTCCATCCGCAGTAACAGTTCGCCAGGGTTCTGGGTTTTGGGTGGCAAATGTGCACCGTCGCTTTAAGGGTCAACTTTTCAGAATTTTGAAGTGGCCTCGGAAAACCCGAAGTTGATCCCAGGTATGACCCGAGTCTGTACACGAGTTCAAGTGGGTCTTCGCAAGTGTTGGGCCTTGTGAAATGCCCACAGATAACGAAACCAATCAACCACAATACTGTATCCACAGCCACAGTCCTGTCATGTGGCCTGTTCTGTGGCCATTGGGAATTGGGCACGTGGTTCTGCGAGGTTTGAGTGTGGCACAATCGCCGTTTCGACAGCAAAAACCAAGAAACTTGTGGCAATGCCGAAGCTGAAATTCGCAAAGTCAGAAAGAAACGCAGGACACTGTTCCCAGCCACATGCCAGCTTGGATGACTAGATCATGTATACAAAATGTAGCTATACATACATAAGACAGAAAGAGCTAGAAAGGGGGGTGATCAAGGAGGAGAGTGTGTGTAGAGTGGGATGGCACCATAAAATGCGAGAACACAAAACGTAGGTGTTACGAGTGCAATTGAGTGAGCGAGCGAGAATTGCACTATCGAAGCAAGAGTACAATGAGCTAAGGCATGAGCGAAGAATATATAGCGAAACTATAGTGGTAACGGTAATGTGTGGAAATTGGGGCGCGCGACAGGCCTAGCGCCGAGGTTGGGAATCGTTGAGGCGGAGGTCCGGAGCGCGGGTTACCAACCGAACCGTGAGGTTGGGTCGCATCGTGAACAGTGGCGGGAGTCGTGGTCGATGCGAGTGTCGCGAGCGGGTAACGTTCACGGATGGGTGCCGATGGCGGGAACGGGCATGTACGCGGTAAGCAGGGATGCGGAGTAAGGAAAAGGAATTTTCCTTACACTACCCCCCCCCTTAAGGAGGCCCTCCTTACGAAAGTGCGTGTACATCCCGGAAATTTCGGCTGCGCACGTACTCTGTCAGGACAGGGTGATTTTCGATTCTGTCCAGGGGGACCCAGTTGTCCTCAGTGGACGTTCGGTCTTTCCAGCGGATCAGGAACTCGACCCTTCGAGCTCCTCGTGGGTCACGAACTCGGTGGCTCAGAATTTTCTCGGGCGTGATGATTGGCTCTGTCGGTGGTCGAGTCATGCTGGCTGGGCGGTTGCGGAGTAGTTGGCTGGTGGATGGTACGTAGGGGCGGAGCAGGTTGACGTGGAATGACGGGCTGACGTACCAGTCAGCGGGGAGGAGGAGGTGGGCGGTGACGGGTGTGATCATGTGGCTGATGCGAAATGGCCCACAATACCGGGGGCGGAGTTTTGGGGTAATGGGCAGGCGGAGGTTCTGGGTGTCGAGTAAAACTAGGTCGTCGGGCTGGTAAGTGACAGGGCGGCGGTGGCGGTCGGCGTTACGCTTAGCGATGATGTTTGATTTTTTGATTGCCTCTGCTGCCCGGGTCCGTGCTGCTTGCAGTATTTCGGCGAATTGTTGCGCGCGTGGGACTGGGTTGTCGGGATTCTGGGGTCATGGGTACTGTGGGGTCTTGTCCGTAGTTCAGGTAAAATGGTGACTGTTGGGTCATGGCGGATGGCGAGTTGTTGTACGCGAACTCGATGAGTGGCAATTGCTGTTCCCAGGTGGTCGGGTCGTCGCACGTAGCTCGGATGAGTTGCTCCATGGTCTGGTTTGTCCGTTCTGTCTGTCCGTCGGTCTCGGGGTGGTACGAAGAACTGAACTGTAGTCGCGTGCCAAACTGCTGCCACAGGTTCCGCCAGAAGTTGCTGGTGAATTTCGTGTCACGGTCGCTGATTATTGCCGCTGGTATCCCGTGTAGTCGAACGACGGTGGAGATGAAGAGGCGGGCTGTTTCTTCGGCTGTGATCGATTTCTTGCAAGCTGCGAAGTGTGCCATTTTCGTCAGCCGATCGACGACGACCAGGATCGCGTCGTTCCCACTTGCTCCGGCAGGTAACCCCGTGACGAAGTCCATCGTCACCTGCTGCCAAGCACGCTCTGGGGGTGGTATCGGCTGCAACTGTCCTGCCGGCCGCTTCCGTGATGATTTCATGAGCTGGCAGGTGGGACACGATGCCACGTGTCGCTGTACGTCGGTCAACATTTCAGGCCAGTAATAATACCGCTGCAGCTGCTGCCGTGTTTTCTCTACCCCGAAATGTCCCGAGGTAACTCCGTCGTGTGCCTCCTGTAACAGTAATTCCCGTAGTAGTGAATACCCCGGTACCCAGATGCGGTCGGTGCCGGCTTTTACATAATAAACTCCTTTTGCTGCTGCGAACTGCTGCGAGTTTCCTCCTGTGAAGAATGGATCCGTTTGATACCCGTGGGTAAATATTCCTGTCAGTAGTGGGCTGGTCTGGGCAAGTAGTATCGCGTGGTTTTGGGCAGTGGGGCGGGTCAGTGCGTCGGCGATGTTTGATGCCCCTTTTTTGTAGGTGACCGTATAGTGAAAATTGGACTCGAGGAAATCGAGCCAGCGGATCTGTCGTGGATTGAGGTGTGGCTGTGCGCGGAGGTACTGTAGTGATTTATGGTCTGTCCGTACTGTCACGTCTGCGCCGGTCAAGTAACAGCGCCACACTTTGAATGCGTGAACGATCGTGAGCATTTCGCGGTCGTGTATCGGGTGATTTTTCTCAGGCGGGTGCAGTTTTCGTGACTCGTATGCGATGGGCTGTAGGCCGTTGCCGAAGTCCTGTAGCAGTACGGCTCCGATGGCGATATTGCTGGCGTCTGCGAATGGGCGGTGTGGGTCGGCGATGCGCAGTACGGGCGGTGAACAGAGAACAGTTTTAAGGGCAGAGAAGGCAGCATGCTCTTTCTCCCCTCACGTAAAAGCGACCCCCTTCCGTAGCAAGTCCGTCAGCGGCGCTGTTAACCGTGCCATGTCGGGGACGAACCGACGCACGTAATTGACGAACCCCAAAAAGCTCTGCAACTCCGTGATATTCGTCGGGGGGTGCCAGGCTTTTACCGTGTCCAGCTTCTTTGGGTCAATTTCAACCCCAGCCTCCGAAATAACGTGCCCCAAAAACTCTAGCCGGTCCTGAAAAAACTCGCACTTGGAACCCTTGGTCAGTAGCCGGTGCTTGTCTAAAACTTTAAATACCGCTTCCAGATCTGCTAAGTGCTGCTGCTTATCGCGACTGTAGACGAGGATGTCGTCGAGGTAAACTATCACGCATTGATCTAAAAGTGGCCTAAACGCCTCGTTCATGGTCATCTGAAATGTCGCCGGTGCATTGGTCAGTCCGAATGGCATCACGGTGTACTCGAATGACCCGTACCTAGTCCTAAAAGCCGTCTTGACGCAGTCCGATGGTTCGACTCGAATCTGATGGTAACCTCCCCGTAAATCGATTTTCGAAAAGACCCGTGCTGTTCGCAGTTGGTCTATCAGTTTGTCGGCGCGGGAAATGGGGTATCGCGACTTGACTGTTACCCTGTTCAGTGCTCTGTAATCGATGCACATGCGAAAACCTCCGTCTTTTTTCGGCGTGAACAGTATCGGTGCGGCGAACGGTGACGAACTTGGTCGGATGAATTTCTTCTCTAACAGGTAATCTAACTGCTTCCTCAGTTCGTCGAGCTCGGGCTATGTCAGCCTGAACTGTCGCTGTACGGTTGGCTGTGCCCCGGATTCTAACTCTATTCGGTGGTCGTGTGCTCGCTGAGCTGGCAGCCCCTCCGGTAAATCGTCGGGAAAAATCCCCGGGTACCGTTTCAACAGTTCCTGTAGTTCGGGCGGTACTGCTGCCAGCAGTTTCTGAAAATCGCTCGCCTGCTCTGCTTCTCCTACTACTGCGATGTCCACTGCGTACACATCAGTGTGAAGAAACTGAGTGGAGTGATTGACTAGGAAATGAGTTGGGTACAAATATGAAACCCTAGAAAACTGTACCCCATAGTGTCTACCCCACTACAGCCTAGAAAGACTATAGTATAAATGTTTGACACACCCCCATAGGCAAAGTGGGGGAGAACAAGGGGTCACAAGACCAGTCAAGCAAGGCAAACTCAGGGTGGATCACAACGTCACCACACATTCCGAGCACAAGTTCAAAGGCCACAAGGCCAGTTCACATGCATGATTATAAATCAAGGTGAACAAGCAAGACAGTGATCGCAACCTAGCAAAGGTAAACAGGCAGGTGCAGGTATATATAGATCACAGTACAAAGCAAAGTCAAGAGGTAAGCAAGTGAGGCCAGGTAGGCACAAGACCTAACATAGTACAGAAGCGCTGATGATCACAAGGCTGAAGTGCCTTGGTAAAGATATCAGCAGTGTTGGCCGGAGAGGCCACGTAAGCAAGGCGCAGCTGACCACGCTGCTGCAGCTCACGTGCAAGGAAGTAGCGAAGAGCAATGTGCTTCGTTCTGTGCTCCAGTCTGTGCTCCTGACACAAGGCCAGCATGGCCTTGTTGTCTACGTACAGAACTAGAGGAGAACGAGGCGGCTCTCCCAGGTCGGTTAGCAGGTAGGTGAGCCAACGTAACTCCTGTGCAGCCATGGCCCCTGCGTAGATCTCAGCCTCACAGCTGGAGCTGAGAACAGAAGACGA